GGTTGCCTCTTCAGAGGGGGGAATGTTAGAGTAGCAAAAAGCCCCATAAAAAAATAAAAAGGAAAAAGAAAGAGTACATGAAGTTGTCAGGAAAATGTGATGGGGAGATATGGGAGGAGTTGGAGGGGAGGGAGTGGGTGGGCATGGATTTGATCAAAACACCTTATATGCATGTATGAAATTCTCAATAAATTTTTTAAAAAGTAAAATAGGTGAGTCCCAGAGATAGTCTTGAACCCAACACATTCCCCTACCCAGCCCAGCCACTGTGGTTTCCCGAGTTAGTCACAGTGTCTGACGCCACTTTTTTCAGCAGTGGTAAAGCCAAATTCTGTCCAGAGCAACATCACGACAGAAAGTGCATAAGAGTTGGAGGAAGTGAGGGGAGTGCCACATAGCTGTGGCATTCTGGAACTCTCAGCAGCTGGGGCTGCCTGCACAAGATCTGCACAAGACCAAGCCCATCAACATTCTGTTATGGGTGTGGGTGAGGATAATGGGGCCCCATCCCTCCCTGAGGATTTATAGGTAGTCTACAGTTGTTTGGAAGGAGGCACTCCCTTCCCTGAGGATTTATGGGCTGCTGGAGGAGAAGAAAACATTTTCCATAGTGGTATAGCCCCTGGTAAAGTGCCATGCTCCTGTAAATAACCCCCTCAGCTGTGCTCCTGGAAGCAACTCTAAGGAAAGTCATTATGTCTCTCTCTCTCTCTCTCTCTCTCTCTCTCTCTCTCTCTCTCTCTGTTCATTACACATCAATTATTCCTTAGGATACAGACATGAAAGTACTTTGAAAGGGGGCTAGTTAGTTGGGAAGAGGAAGGGGATCAGTGAGCATGGTGAGGCGACAAGTGAGGCTAACACAGGTAAATATGGTCAAAATACATTCTTCATACATATACATGTACTAAAAAGTGTCACAACGAAACCCATTATTATATATAGTTAATATATACTAATCAAAACATAAAAAAATACAGATTTCTGAGCCCTCTTGCCATCCTCTGGGTCTAGAGTGGATTCTGAATGTTCCCAGATGTGCTAATGCTGCTGGTCTTGGGACCACATTTCAAAGGGGGAATGTTTAGGAAGGTTTCTCCTATTGCTTAAGCAAGGGTTTCATTAAGCTTCTGAGCAGGCAAGAACAGTCCTGGGTGATATGGGTGGGGTAAGAACTAAGGTACTGAAGTCAGACTGCCTGGGTTTGAGTCCAGGCCCTGAAATTCTGTGGTGATGGGAGCAGAGAAACTTAAGCTCGTCCTTCCGTCCTCATGTCTCAGAAGGAAGAATCTCAGCATCTACTTGTGGTTGCAGGTGGTTTCCACGATGGGTTGCTCAGCTTTAAGGTTATCTTTCTGTAGCAGCTTCTCTGTCTATTGGCAATCACCCTTCCTAGCTCAGTCTAAGAGGTTTGGGCTCCTGGGTGGAGTCACAGCCCACATCTGAGCAGTGTCATATGGTGTTTTGACATGCTGGCAACAGAACAGTCTCAAGATCTCTTCTGACTTGCTCCTGGACTCCAACCCCCATTCTCCCAAAGCACAGGAAAGGACTGTCCCTGAAGTTCCCTTGTGGACCTAGAGGCTCCATCCATCAAAGAGGACCACAGTCATCATCAAGCTTCTTATTAACATTTCATCACCCAGGAAGATTAAACTCGCATCACAGAGGAAACTGAAAATCAAACATCACACCCAGAGCCCAGAGGACACTTGTCCCAGGCTACTATCTGATCTCTGAACACAGTGTCTCTCTGAAACATCACTTACAACCCCTCTGAAATTGCTTATAGCATCCCTAAGACCCTTCTCTGTTTAAGGCATTTGAGCGTCCATCATCTGGCCTCTTGAATCTTTGTGTGGCTCCTGTGCACATGCACATGTTCATGCTTTTTCTCTTACTAATCTGTTCATTGTCCGTTCATTTCCCACAAGTACACTTATACCTTCAGAGGGGAAGTTGGTGCTTCCATACAGGGACAGTGAGAGACATTTCAGGGATTCCCTCTAGAAAGCAAGAGGGAGGGGGGTGGGGGGAGGTTTCATTTTGCAGGATGGTAAGCCACTAGAATGAAACTTTTCAGTCCATCAGGATGCCCTGAAGATTGGAATGAGAAGGACTGCCTGTGGAGTCCTTCTCCAGGCAGGAGAGAGGGCTAAGGGGCAAGACAGCTGCACTTCTAACAATATCTCGGGCACCTCTGTCCCCAAGCCCACAGACATTGCTTACCCTGAATTTTTCAGATACTTGAGTGATGTATTCAATGTTTTTATGCCTAAGGCGGTTTGAGTAGGTGTTCTCTGTATTGTTAGGAAGGGTCTAATATACCACTTGTTTCATAAAGAGAGGATGCCAGACCCTCAAGGCCTCAGATAATACAGGACCCACTGCACGGCCTGCACAGCAGAGGCACTCAGTCAGCCACGATTACTGTTACTGTCACGCCCTCTGCTATGTTCTTGAAAATATTCTGGGACGTGTCCTCTTAAAGCACTTCCTTTCTAGAGTAGAAGCCTATAAGTACAGATCCCGCTAACTTGAAGGTAGTAGTAAGTCCTAGGATTGTCTCCAGACTGGAAGAGAAATATAGTGAGCATTGGCAGAGCGGGCCCAGTCCTCCATCCTACCTCACCCTCAATTCTGATCAAAGGCCTCTCTGGGCCAGGATGAAAAGTCTTCAATTTAAAATCAGCCATGCCCCAATATTCTAGTAGAGTATGAATTGTGTACAGATAAAGACAGGTAATGGCCGGGCTGGGGAAGGAGGCAGAATGTGAGGAGAAAGACCTCAGGCTAGAACCCCAGGGGTGTTCCAGTCTTGTGTCTGCCTATACTTGTGATCTGGCCATATACTTGTGCTTCTCCCAAAACTGCCTTTTAGCTGCACCTGTAAGTTTCTGTGGGTTCCCCTGTATACTTGTCCTTTTAAAAAGATTGTGTGTGTGTGTGTGTGTGTGTGTGCATACACATGCGTCCAGGCACCCATGGAGGCCAGAAGAAAGTGTCAGATCCCTTGGAGCTGGAGTTACAGGTGGTTGTGAGCTGTACAGTGTGGGTGCTGGGAACCTAACTCTAGTTCTCTTTCATATTCTCCCTATCTAGAATGTTCCTCACTCCCTTCTCTATGTAGGTAAGCCTCACTGGCTTCTCTATCTCAGCTTTGGAAATAGAAGCTAAGGAGTGACTTGGAAAGCAAATAGTCCTGGGTTCAAGTCCCAACTGTATTAACTTGGGTAAGTCACTTAATCTCAGCCTCAGTTTACTCACCTGGGAGATGGGTGTGACAGTGGCACATTCTTCATGGGGTGAAGCATGATTATGATAATGTCATTGAAGCACTTGTCCCTGTGGGCAGTACACAGAGAAGGCTAAACCAACCCCAGGGTGATATTTCTGAAAGGTTTTTTTTCTCTCACAGAGCCTTGAGATGAGCAGGCTGGGGGATGTGCCTTCCCTGCATCCTGTGGCTCTTCTGTCAGGTGTTGTCTCGGGTTGCAAAGCTTCTCAGTGTGACTGTTTGCCCTCTCCAGAGGTCAGTAGTTCTGTCCCTCTCACTGTTCCATGCCCTACAGTTTTGCACTGTAGCTCTTCATTGTAGGTATTAGGAGAGGACAAACAACTGAACAAGTTATTAAACCTTTCTGTCTCCTCATCTTAGATAGCCAAATTTGGACAGGAAAGTCACCATGACTACTTCTTTATTGCTGAAATGCCTGCTAAATTTTTATCTGTTTACTTTTGGTTTGGAAGTTTCCAGCCTGTACCATGGTCTGGAGGCACAGGAGTCACCTTTCAGCTCACCAGCAGCCTTCACTAATGGTCCATGCTCCAGAGTGGGCTGGGCTTGCAGGTAAGACAGTGAGGTCCCTGTGGGGAAGTTAACCAAACAAAGGGCAACTGGAGTCCTTAATGGGAACATTGTAGGACGGCTTCACACTGTCCTAGGGCCTCATGGGTACGAACAGCCCAGTCTTACTTTTGGGACAAGGAGCTGGAGATCTGAAGGATGATGAATGATGAACCCAGTCTCCCTAAGCACACGCAGGGACAGCCTTCCCTGCCCTAACTGATTCCAGGTGTCCCTATGTGGGGCTGGAGAGTGACATTTAGGACCACCCACATACAAGGCATGTGACTCCGTGTGGGGCAGAGATCTGTGAGGTCACACAGATCCCCAAGAAGGACAAGAATGCTCTCCACTGGTTGTTTCATATCTTAAGGGAAGAAGCGAAAACATTTTCTTTCACTCTGTTTTGTACCCAGGAGCTCCTGACTACCATCTCGTCTTGTTATCTGAAATGTACACACACACACACACACACACACACACACACACACACACACACACACACACACGTGTGTGCATGCAGATATACACAGATACTGATATACACACATAGACACAAACACATAGATATATACAGAAATAAAGACACAGATACAGAGGAAATAAACACCAACACACAGATACACAGAGAAATACACAGATAAACATGTACATATAGACACACAGACATACATAAACACAAGACACAAATATACATAGACACAGATACATAGATATCCACAGAAATACATAGAGATATACACAGACACACAGAGAAACATACAAATGTACACACAGATATACACACAGACACACACAGAGATACACCGGGATAACACACACAGATATACACAGACATACACACAGATACACACATAAACACAGAGCTATACACACACAGATATACACAGACACACACAGATACACAAAAACGCACAGGGAGATACACAAAGACACAAACACAGATGCACACAGAACCCCCAATTCCCAGGTCTTATCGATTTTCCATGCCTTTTCAGGGTTTTATCTGTGGCTAAACTTCAAATCTTATCCTCTTCCTTGTGCCAAACAGTATCATCTCTGGGTCTCTGATTATTTCTGACATTTTCATCAAAATGACGAAACCCTTCAGAAACAAAAAGAGAGCATAGAAGTGCTCAAATGCCACTGCAGATACTGCCAATGTTAACTATAAACCTGACCTGGGGCTGCGGAGATGTAAAAGCACTTACACACAAGATGAAGGCTTGAGTGGGGATGCCCCGAACCCACAGAAAGCCAGGCACAGCAGTGCGGGTCTAGAATCCTGAAGCAAGAGGATAGGAGGGACAGGAGAATCCCTGCAGGCTGGAGGGCCAGCTAGCCTGGCACACAGCAGTGAACAAGAGACCCTGTCTGAAGGTGAGACTGACATCCGAGGTCGTCCTCTGACTTCCAAATACATCCTGTGGCACACTACACCCGCACTCACACACATGAACATGTACCCATGGAAGCACACAAAAACACATTAAAAATAAAGGAAGAAACTATCTTTTGCCCAACTCCCTAAACTCTCAGTATGTTGTTGTCTCCATCTCTGCTGAACCGTGCCTTACTTGTTAAGGCGATGACTGTTAATTTGTAGCCGGTTACCAGGCATTCTTTACTTGTTCCCTAGTCTTTCATCATAGGTATAAATGTTTACAAGACATAATTAAGTTAGGCTTCTTTTTCCTGTACGTTCCAAATAGCCCTTACCCACAATGCTTCCAGTTTTCCTCTTTATCTCTTCAATAACTGCACTTTATTGACTGGTTGTATCATCATCTCCTCACACACTTCCCCAGTGTGGTCCTTGTAGGTAATGTTTAAAATTTAGGTTAAAAATAACAACACAACAAAGACCTGAATTTATAGAACCTTTCCCTCATTTTGTGTTATTCTTTGACATAAATTCCGACATGTATGATTACTAGCAGAAAGGACACAACTATCATAAAAATGCAGCCCATAAACACTGTTATGTTTCCTGAATTGGCCCTTATGCAGAAAATAGTTGCTCCCCACTGAGGTACTTGGTTGGACTGAGAGGCTCTAAGATCCCTTTTTATCCCTGATCCATTGATTCTAAAATGCTGCTGCTAAAGCCTGCTGACTCTTCATTTAAGAAGCAAGCGCCCTCATGCTGAATGTAGGCATGCATGCCTGGTGACCTCATGATGGTAGTGGGCCTGGGGTGGGACATACAAGATACCAAGGACAGGGAAGCCCTGGGCAGGCTGGCAATGTTCACGTCATCAATCCCAGCAGACAGACAGATGGACAGGTAGATACTGTTTCTCTTCCTTTGCGCCTTTGAGTTGTCCCTATGACAATTAGTCTAGTCTTGAACCCATGCACAGAGATTTTTAAACTCAGCAGGTCGCCACTCATGGCATCCACCCATGCCCAGCGGCATTAGACTGGGGACTGGGATGGATAGGTGATGAAAGGGGGAGCTGGTCTAGCTTTGGGCCCTATAAGTGAGACCAGCCTATCCACCATGGCATTCAGCTGGAAACAGGGAAATGGTTTGGCTGATGTTTCCCAAACTCCCCAGAGAAGGTGGATAATAAATAAGTGACAATAACAGATTGCACACTGTCAGCACGGGCACTTTTTTGCCCCTAGAGAATTGATTTTTAATAACAGCGCAGATGACATGTGGCGGGAGTTGTCGCTGACATGGGTGTTTTGCGGGCCTTAATAAATCACATCACTCCAGAGCCTCTGGAATGAACTGGATTACTGGTGCTGTTTGTTGATGTCTGGGACTGTGGAAAGAGTCTTGGAGCACTGAGGCAAGGAGGGTCAAGTCAGCCACCTCCTGACTAATGGACTTGATCAGTTGCTTTACCAGCCAGGCCTCAGTTTCCCAATCTTCAAAATGGCCATTTTCCTCTCAAGCCCAGACCATTGTTGAAAAGGGTTAGGAAAAGGAAAGGCCCGGCAGAGCCCCATTAAGTATGGGGGGTCATTCTTACAGTAAGAATGGGCTAGAAAGGGAAGGTGAAAGGTTTAGGGGTGGGGTGGTATCTCTGCCATCATCAGATCATTTAAGGGTGACATGCAAAGGAACAAGACACAGCATCTTTACCAGTAAAACCGTTGCAAGGGAAAGGTACACCAGTGGTGACTGCTGGACCTGGGTTGGGGTAGCGTGGTGTGTCTTCCTGCTCTGGTAGGCCCCGATGTGAGGCCAGAATAACAAATGAATATTAATCTGTGTTTACAGTGACCAGAGCTGTGCTATGTGTTCTAGATGTAGCATCTCATCTAACCCTCCACAGGCCCTGGGAGGTGATTACCATCACTATCTCATTTATTTTAATTAATTAATTTATTTATTTATTTTTGGTCTTTTTGAGACAGGGTCTGCAGGCCCTGGGAGGTGATTACCATCACTATCTCATTTATTTTAATTAATTTATTTATTTATTTATTTTTGGTCTTTTTGAGACAGGGTCTCCCTGTCCACTATCTGATTTTTATGGCTGAGAAAACAAACAGTGAGCAGAGCCATGCTTGGAAAGCAGGTGTCTCCAGACCCTCTAGCATTTGTGTGTAGCTTATCTGCCTCAAGCTGGTTGCCCTCTACTCAGATGTAGGATAGGGCCAGGCAGGCAATGAGAGTAGACAGGCATGGAGGTTGCAGACTGTACAACTCTGTCTAAGTGGCAGCTTTTAAGTGGCACAAAGGATAGTGGGAAAGGGGGGAGCTCTGGGTACCTTCTTTTGTAACCCAGTACCAGATAAGCTGACCCAGGCCCTGCGACTCACAGTACACGGAGTGACCGTAATCCATTGAAGGCATGGACGGGGATGCATCTCAGCCGGTTGTAGCTCAGGATCCTGTGGAAAGGGAGACGTGAATCTGCTGGCTGCTCCTGTTCTCCTGGGTGCACTGTTTACATCGTGGACCCATCAAAGCAAATGGTTCCTCCAATTTTTGTGGTCTAATATATCGACAAAAACACTCTAATACAGAGGGAAAAGGAACTACTCCCACCACTCCAGAGAGGCTCCTCAGCTTGTTTACCAGCCCTGCCCTACCCCATGTTCCAGACTGCTAGCTCTCTAACCAGCTTTCCCACCACCTCCCTTCACTGTCAAATGATGTGTACTTACAACGTGCAGAGCTAATGGGAAATAAATGGGTCTGAGCAAAATATAATTGTGTAGGAAACCCTCCACTGAGAAAGAACACGCACACATCCCAGAAGGTATTCTGAAGAGAGCCTTCTTCAGAGGTAATTAGTTTCCAGTTCCTCCATCTGCCAGGCCCCTATCTCCTTTATCTGCCTTTTGATGACTAAGGTCTATCTTTCACTGGGGCAGCCACAGCCCTGGGGATTACTAGCTCATAGCACTTAATAACCAAGGGGATAAGAGGGAAGGATGGTCATGCCCATGAGCACTGAACATGGAATGTCGTGGTACTCACAGTGTGGAGAGGTGGGACATGTTGCTGAAGGTGTAATTGGTCAGTGTGACGATGCTGTTGTTGCTCAGGTCACTAGAAAAAGTAAAACAGAAGAGTCACGTTTGACTGTTCACGGCACCTGAGGGAGACTATGCCTAACTATCATACAAGTGTTCCATCTACCCTTCAATCCATCCAGCTACGACAAACTCATCCAATCATTTATCCACCTACCCCGGTCTATCCATCTATTCAGTCACCTATTTATCCCCCACCTACTTAATCATCTATCCATCTACCCACTCCCCATCCACTCCTCTCATTTATCCATCTGTCTCTACCCTTTCTCATGTTCATCTGTCCACTCATCCCTCACCACCCCATCCATCCACCCACCAAGGCACTCACCCAAATGTTCATTTTCCCATTCACACTGTCATTGCTCATTCATTCAACTATTCAGTCTCTCAATTACACACCTATTCATACACTTCATCCTAACAAAACATAACATATAAGAAAATAATTTCTCCTTATACCAGTATTTTTCTTCCCTGATCAATTCTTACCATCAACCCTCCAACTCCTCTCTCTGGGCAAATCCTAGCAGATCAGCCTGATCTGCTCCTCCCAGCTGCCTCTCCCTGAGTCAACCAGGATGAAGGTTGAGAAAGACTGCATCCACCTGCAGCACTGTTCTAACTCTACACCCCTGACCTGCCCTACTCCAGGAAGGAAAACATTAATGTCTGCCCAATGGCAGGCTCCTTACATAAGTGTCAGCTGTCGGAGGGTGGACAGCTCTCTGGGCACTGCGGTTAAGTGGTTTCCTTCCAGGTACCTGAAAGAGAGGTGCAGCGTGACTGGTCAGGTCCTCAGAGAAGAACTCCCTGACCCTCGGACTAGCCCGGCTCCCTACGTTACCTTCTCATAGTTCTTTCTATCCCCTGCCCCCCCTCCTCCCTGCCATACACACAGAGCACACACTACATTTGTCACCACTGATATTTTGTGTGATCATTAAATCAGTGATACTTTTCTCTATGAACAGATAAGTTTCATGATGGTAATATTCTTGGTAAAACTGCCCACCACCGTAAGGTTCTTGCATAGCTGATATATAGTAAGTACATAGTGCAAAGTTGTTTAATAAATCAAATGCTCACTTTATGCTTACACATCACAACATCCCTAAGTTGCAGCAATATACAGTTGAAGAAGCAAAGGTTCAGAGATGGAAAAGCACTTGCCCAGGGTTACACAGCAAGCAAGTGGCTGAGACAGACTTTGAACCCCGATTTCCCTGACAATTGCACACAGCTTCTATTGTGCTCCTGGAGGATGGTTGGGGAAGTGAGTTGTGAGCTGTCTTAAGAACTTGAATTCAGGTAGAGGGAGAGAGATGATACTCAGGAACAGGATGCTAGAGCCTCCAGGGAATAATCTGGGGAAAGCTGAAAAACAGTTATCAGAGAAGGAATATTTGGAGGCTGGAGAGATGGCTCAGTGGTTAAGAACACTTGCTGTTTTTCTATGGGACCCAGGCTCAATTCCCAGCACCCACATGGCAGCTAACAACTGTCTGTAACTCCAGTTCTAGGGGACCTGACACCCTCTTCTGGCTTCTGTGGGCACTGCACACCAGTGGAGCACTTACATACACGCAGGTAAAACATCCATACACATAAAATAAAAATAGTAAGATAGAAAAAAAGAAAAACAGAGAAAAGGATTACTTTAAACAGCTTGGGGAAAGATGATACTCAGGGCATCATTAGCAGAAGAGAAGCTGGGGGAACTGTAGGAAACCAGGCCCTAGGGTGAGATGAGCCTAAAACTTTTAAGTCCGGGCTACATTCTCTGCTAAAGGGAGGGATGCTGACAACAGTAGCTCTGATAATCCCGATCTTGCAGAACACTGCGAGAATGGCAGGAGAAAGCGGCCTGGTCATAAGTGCAGGCTCCTTGCTCTGTGAGAAAGCATCTTGGTCAACAACCCTTAGCTTATCTCACTTTCCTGAACAAATAACTCAGCTATCCTTGGCTAAGAGATTAGGCCAGGTTGGTTTACAGGGTCTCTATGTTCAGCCTCCTGAGAGACAGGACTGTTTTATGGTATCATACAGTGTATCTTTTAAAAAAAGATTTATATTCATTTATTTTATGTGTATGAAAGTTTTACCTGTATATATATCTCATATGCATGCAGTACCTGAGAAGACCAGAGGAGGGCAGTGGATTCCATGGACCTAGATTAACAGACAGCTGTGATCTGCCATGTGGGTGCTGGGAATTGAACTCAGGTTGTCTGGAAGAGTAGCCAGTGCTCTTAACTGCTGAGCCATCTCTTCAGCCCCCAGACAGCAGATCTTTATCTCTTTCTTTCCAGTCTCCTTTTAGCCAAACTGCCATCTTATTCCCTTTTTGCCCCCTTTTATTTACATCCTCCTCCTTCTCTTTATCCCTACAATGCTAATCAGTAACCTTATGCATCTTTCCTTTTTTTTTTTTTTTTTTCCATTCAGACCTCCAACAACCACTATATTGGTAAACTCTGTACTATCAATGTCTCTATGCTCAAATTAGTGCTTAAGGAGTGACTGTTTTGCAGTTGGCAACTCTGCTTACGTAGTGGGTCCAACCCTGGACAGTGACTGTTGTTGTAGACAGTATTCTGCTCTCAGGGGGCAACTAGAAATGGAGCCTAGCGCCCTCAATGCCAGTGTAGCAGAGAAAAATAACACCTCAACCCTACTAACCTAGTCCCTCCTCAATACTGTAAACATTTCCACTGAAAGAAAGGTGACCCAAAGGAAAAAAAATCCAACCAATGACCCAATTCCTGATGCAGAAGTCCCAACACAAAAACATGAGTAACATGAAAAACCAAGACTATGTGCCCACTGCAAAAGCAACCAATCCCAGAGTAACATCCCCCCATGATGAAATGCCAAAGAATTCAAAAGAATACTTGCAAATACATTCAAAGGAATGAAAGAGGACATAAATAATGAATTCCAAGAGAACACAAACAGTTGAATGAGATGAGGAAGTTAATACAGGATATGAAAGTGGAATTCAATAAAGAGAAAGAAATAACAGAAGAAAAACCAGACAAACTGTACTGGAAAGGAAAAATTCAGTAAGTTAAATAAAAAGCTTGGTGGAAAGCTTTACTAAGTTGGATCATGTGGAATATCAGTGCTTGAAGACAAGGCACAGCAAATGAGAGATTTAGTCAAGGATAATGGGAAATAACAACAATAGTACAAATGGAACGTGTGAGATCTTTGGAACATCATGAAAAAACCAAAACTATGAATTATGAGCAGAGAAGACTGAGCAGAATCCCATGCCAAATGCATAGAAAATATTCTCAATACAATACTAGAAGAAAAACGCCCAAATCTAGGGAGAGATCCATCCAAGTACAAGAGGCATACAGAACATCAAATATGACCAGAAAGGAAACTCCCCACATCATGTTACAGTTAAAAAGCTATATAATAGAACAAAGAAAGTGCAATGACAGATGCAAGAGAAAAACACTTAGCTACATATAAATGCAGGCCCATCAGAATAACAGCTGATCTCTCAACAGAAACTTTAAAAGTCAAAAGTGCATGGAATGATGTATTTGAAGTTCTGAGAGATCACAGCTGCCATCCCAGACTATTTTCCATGATAAAAGCAGCCTAAAGGAATGTAGGTCCGCTAAGCCAATACTGAAAGAAAGTCTTTGGATTGAAGAAACAGATAAACACATCCAAGCGACTACAGGGGGAAATATGCTAGAACAGGAGTTAAGCAAGTATTAGAAAAACATGAAACCCTACAAAAATCAACAAAATGACAGTAATTAACACACACATTCCAACAATAACTCTGAATACTAATAGTCTCAATTCCCCCAATCAAATGACACAGATTAGCAGATTGGAGTAAAAAAGAGAATACTTCTGTTTCCTGCCTCCAAGAAACATACCTCATCAACAAAGACAGACACTATAGTAGGGTGAAAGGATGGAAAGAGCTACTCCAATTGGAACTAGGAAACAAGCAGGTGTCACTGTTCTAATACCTGACAAAATAGATTTCAAAGTAAAACTAGTCAGAAGAGAGAATAATGTCACTTCATATGGATTAAGGAAACAATCCATCAAGAGGATATTACAGTTCTAAGCACTGAACATGGATACAACCAATTTCATACAACTACTACTACATATAAAATCATAGAAATAAAGAGAGTAATGATGTAGTTATCACTGTAACTGATTTTAGGTTATATTACAGAGTCATAGTAATAAAAAAAGCAATGGTACTAGCACAGAAACAGACACATAGATTGATAGAGGAGAATCCAGGACTGAGATACAAGCCCATGCAGTTATAGTCAACTGATGTTTTTTTCCCCCTCTTCCTTTTTTTTTTTTTTTTTTTTCTTTTTGAGACAGGGTCTTCCTGTAGCTGTTCATTAGTGCTAAGAAAACTAGATATCTACATGTAGAAGAATGAAAGTAGTTCCTTATCTCTTACCCTGCACAAAAACCTATTCCAAGTTTGAGAGATCTGAAACTCTGAAACTGCTAGAGGATAAAGTAGAGAAAACACTTCAAGATATAGGCATAGCCAAAGATTTTCTTAATAGGGCTCTAGTCACTCAGAAATAAACTACTGGCAAATGCAACCTCATGAAATTTTAAAAAGTTTCTGTACACAAAACAAAAACAAACCAAAAAGTCCACGTACAAAACCCCAGTTAATTGAGGAAATAGCCTATGGAATGGGAGAACATCTTTGCCAGGTATCTATATGGCAGAGGATTAGTAGCTGGAATATACAAAGAACTCAAACAAATAAACAACAAGAAAAAAGACCAATGAAAAATGGGCCAAGGACCTCAACAAGAACCCTCAAAAGAAGAAACATAAATGGCCAATAAATATTTTAAAAATGTGTTCAATATCCTTAGCCACCAGGGAAATGCAAATTAAAACTAAGATGAAATTCCATCTCACCCCCTCTTAGAATGGCTGTCCTCAAGAAAACAAATAACAAATGCTGGCTAGGATATAGGCTGGCTACACTGCTGATAGGAGTGCAAACTGATGCAGCAACCATAAAAATCAGTCTGGAGGTTTAGACATAACTACAGGAACCAGGATAATGAAAAGGAACCAGGGAGGTAAAGGAAAAGAAAGACCCTGAAAGAGAAGAACAGTAGGAAACAGGTGTTAATAGGGAGCTATGGATAAAATGGGGTTATTTTAAGGGGAGGGGGAAGGAAAGGTTATACTCTTAGTTTGTTTCTTCATTGCTGTGACAAAATCCTCTGCCCAATACCAACTTCGGGGGAAAGGGTTTATTCAGCTTACATCTCCCGAGTCGCAGTTCATCAGCTAGCCCAAGGCAGAAACTCAGGGCAGGAACCAGCAAGAAATAAATAATGCCTAGCTAATTTTAAAAAACCAGAGGGAACCATAGAATTCCAACAATCTACTGACAAATTATACAACTAGATCAAAAATGTAATGTATGTGTAGGCAAGGTTTATCTGAGAGCATTTGGTCTTTGCCTAAGCTTTATCTACATGGCATATGGTAATTAAAAGTACCAGACTAGTGGAACTAACATTCTTGGATGTTTAACAGCGTCACCTGTCCTCTTGATCAAGGAGGGGGGTCAACACAGAGGAAACATTTCCTCCATGCTTCCAAGCAAAGCCAGCCGTGGTCGAGCAGGACCTGACTTACCTTCACATAGACGGAACTGGTCAAAGAATGGAGCCAGAGGCTCCTCCCAAGCCCATGTGACCCCTGAGGAACAGAGCCTTAAACC